TGAACTAGCATTTAACTGAAGGAAATGTTTTAAAAAATTGAAAATCTAGGTAAAAGGTCAAAGCCCATAGTAGTGTTCTGCCTCTAGGTTTAAAAACAAACATGAAATGCAAGGACATGATGCCAAATTTAGGTGTTTTTTGATTGTAGGAGGTTGGGAAGAATGAGGCTGGGAGCTTCCCAGGCTTGAGGTCCTGATACAGAATATGATTAACCATATTTTTGCTGTTGGGCTGACAAAAACAACTGAACGTAATAGATAAAGAGTATTGTATTGTCTTCTTCAAACTTTGGGGCCAGCCAAATGGACCAAACACAATGATCATTTCTGCTCATATGTTTTCAAATTTTGTTGAATTCTTCCCTTATATCACAGACGAAGCTAAACAAAAACATTTTAATTTATTTATTGGAGGGAAAAGCAGTGCAGTGTCATAAGATAAGCCAACAGTTTATTACAAAAAAATCACAACTGTACATTTGTTATTCACAACAGACTACATGTACACTGCAGTTTTACATTTTAACAGCTTTGACAATGCTCAAGTCAGCAAGCTAGTATTTTGAGTATTCAACATGTGCACATATAAAAAACAATATTTTTAAGTTAATGTGACAGGTTTATAGTATTATGGGAGATTCCCCAACGTCATTCAAGAGTGCAAAGATTCATTTGTAGATTATTTAAAACACACTAATAAATCATCTGTTAATTTTATGATCTTGGAAATCACAATCATAACAGACTGATGGAAAACATTAATGAACAGACACCTAGACTATGCTAGGGAATTCAAGTTTGACAAATGGAATGAAAGACTAGGCTGAAGGAGTTTCCCCCGCCCATTGACACATATTTTGGATACAATCTTTCATGACTTTTCCCTGCCTCTGCTTCCATCAGTCACCCTGACTGTACATTAATATTTCAAAAGAGAGAGAGGAAAACAAAGCAGAGGAGTTTATTTATATGACACACCATATGGCTCTGATATTTTTGGAAGGGACAGAATGCTGAAATACAACCGCCCTTAAAAGTATATATATCAACATAAATAAAAATACCAATAAAAACATATTGAAACTTTGGAACTATAAAAATGCTTGAAAAAGAGTATTAAAGAGTATGGGTTGCAATCAGTGGAGTAGGATTAGATTAGGTGACCCATGAAAACAACATCAGACTCCCTGGGCCCAAATAGTCTGTAATATGGGAACATTCTATGCTTCTAAGCAGGAGGGCAAATTTTTTCTTTTTATTTGTGCCATTTCTGCAAACTGCTTTATCTCATTTGGCCAACTACAGAGTGCCAACCAGGCAACAGTCCATAACGTGACAGATCCTGAAACAGCAGGCTTCGTCATTCTCACTGGCTTTATCAAAGGGGATGCCAAATCACTATTTAATCTAGGCAAAGCAAAGATGGAATTGGGCTTTATAGCTGTCATATGCTACGGCCACCCATAAAAGTATATAGTCACTACACTTTACATTGAATCCTGTAAAATGCTTTGAGGCATCCTTGACATGAAAGGTGTGATATCAAATGCAAGGATTACTTTTATATTAGGGAACACTGCACCCAACTCTCAAAGTATCGATTTTCTGCCCATTGTATTAAAATAATTATCTAATGTAACATTAGTAATTTTTTCTCCCCATCGGTATTCTCAGAGCTGAGTTTGTCAAGCAACTCTTCCGTATATTGTAATTGAATCTTTTACACATTCTCATGAACAAAAAGTGACTTTTGTCACTCTGACACTTCCTCAAGGTTTCCGCTCAAGGAGTGGTCCATATATTCGATTAAGAGCATGAATAATTAGTTTCATCCATCATATTCAGTAAATAGTAGCTAATTACAGCAAAGAGTGGATCAACTGCTTCTATTCCCAGAATAATGCTTTGGCCACTCACACTCTGGGCTCCCTGAGCATGGAATCCAATTCTCAAGTTAGATGTGCTCAATGAGAAACAGGCCAGACTAACATTTGTGGTTTGTTACACACCGCCAGTTCAAACTAGGAGGAACAACTTGTCGTTTGCTACATGTCCCATTTTAGGAGTGCATATGAGAAAAGGAAGGTAGTACTGATGAGGGACTTAATTCGGTCCAAAATAAACTGGGAATGTCCAGGTTGGAAGGACTTTGAGCTTGTTGTCATTGTTAACAATGTTTCTGTGTCTGGATACTCTGAAATGCATAACTGTTTCCTGACTCAGTATTAGGGAGTTCGCTGACACTGTGAACTCCGTCAGGAAACAGTTATGCATTTCAGTGTATCTACACACAGAAACATTGTTAATAACAACATTGACAAGCTCGAAGTCCTTTCCACCTGGTCATTCCCAGTTTATTTTGGACCAACTTCAGTCCTCCATCAGTACTACCTTATTATATTAGACAAACTGGCAATGGCAATGTTCAAAGAGTAGTAGTTGACCCACTACATGGCAGAAACCACAGCTCAACAACATTCAATTTGACTTGGGAAATGGCATAAGTATGCAACCAAAATGTAGTAAACGACTTCAGGGGTGTGACGATTAAGCTAAGTGACACACTGTACTTCTCAAGGACCAATTAGTTGAGGACACCCTTCAAAAACATTATGCAAAGCTTGCAAGACAAGCAGATACCCAAGTGAGGCAAATGTATCAACAGGAAAATAAAAAAGGGGAGATTCAAAAAGGACGATTTACAAAGATCATCCAAGGAAATGAGAGGGAGACCATTGGGCTGCATACAAGACTGTACTGAAAGAGGTAAAACAAAGATATGGGGAACCAAGCAAAAATTGGAAAGGTCATAGCAGAAAAACCAACATATATTGCCAATAAATGCTTTTAATGTGATAACATTAAGGGGACAATCAGTAACAGTAAGATCTTAAAACCTGAGTCATCTGTATTGGGACCCTTCTTTGATAAAAAAAATAATGACCTAGATTCACAGGCTCAGTGAAAGGTAGTTAAAGTTGCAGATGACACCAAATTGGGGGTAAACCATGGAATCAGAAGACACAGCAAAAGTCTTGCAACGGACGGATGACTGGAAAATTAAGTTCAATACTAATAAATGCAAGATACTGCATATAAGAAATAAAAATAGGAGGGCCTTAATACTCTATGGATGGATGGAACTTGCCAAGAGGCAGCTGAAAGAGATCTAGGGTGATAGTTGACAAATCACTCACCATTTCAAAACAATAATCAAGGCAACCATGATGCTGGCCTATATTGCCAAATCAGTTAAGTTCAGAAGACTAGAAATCATGCTCAAGATGTAGTGGTCTGGTCAGGCTGCACCTGGAGTACTGCGTACTGTGACATAAGGGAGCTTCCCGGGCTCTAGAGGCAGTGCAGAGCAATGAAGACGATCGCTAATGTAATATGATAAACTATGATAATAATTAGAGCTTTTCAGTCTAAGAAAGATGTCTCAGAGGGGACCTTATAAAAAGTAAATGCGATTTTAGCTAGGATTCAGAAAATAAACCCCAAGCAATACTTTCAGATAAGGCAGAGCAGCAAAACAAGAGGGCACAAATTCAAGGGAGCAAATGGCAGTTTCAAGACGGACACAGGAAGTATTTCTTCATCTAAAGTGTAAAAAACAACTAGAACAGATTACCAGGTATCTGGCTGAGGCCAGGATATTGGACACATTTAAGAAAATAGCTTGATGCTGTGATGGGAACACAGTAGGATAGGTATTCTGGAATGATGAGGCCAAATGGATTGAAGGGTTTTCTTCATTCAAACAGATCTTATGATCTTGGGAGGTACAAGAGCAGTACGGAATATGTTAAAGTCTCATTTACTACATTTTAATCAAGAGAAAAGCTTTCTGAGAAAAACTAGTTCAACATCCATCAGAAAGAGGGAAAACGCAAATAGTCAAAACAGTTTGTTCACCTGCTTGTTATTCATAGATATCATGGCTCTATGTTAAATAGAACAGAGGCAACACAAAACAATTTTAGAAAGGGATACCTTTTCTGTCTGAAAAGCACAACATTGCAATGCTGGAACCATTTTTCTCAAACAGATTTTTGACCACATAAGTAAATGCCTGGGCATAGACATCATGCACAATTGTTATAAAACAATTAAAATGATTCATCTTTCTGGAATGATGCATAAAATTGGTACATGCATTGTGGAAATTCCATTTCATTCTTATAGTAGCTCGTTAAACTTTAATTCTAAAAGGATACTGCAGAATGTGCAAAACATGTTTTTTTCTTTAGCTGTAAACACCAAGTTACAAGTGATTGCCCATCTAATTATCAGATCATTGTAAGTAAGCTTCTAAAAGATGTGAATGCTTCTGTTATCAATGCTTATTTCTTTACAGGGATGGAACAGTATGGCTTCAGGCTATATCAATATCCAGTTTATGGAGGAATCATTACAGTATTTATATTAGGTGGATGGACTTTTCTTTCCAAGAATGTTTACTTCTCAATGAGGTTATATAAGATTGCAAACAACATGTCATCTACAAAACAATTGAACCCATTCAGTAACTACTTCTACTTTGGATGTTATATCATAGACAAAGGGTCAAAATTGTAAAGAAATAACATTAACATGTAACATTACAGCATAATTAGAAATAAATTATCAAACCATTAAACTGAAATCAAGAAATGCTAAATTCCATCATTTTCTTTCCTGTCAGTACAAACATTAAACATTATAATATTTTTTACCTTCGTATAAAACATTAACATTCTTAACATATAATAATCCTTGCATTTGATATAGCGCCTTATCACATCTTCAAGACATCTCAAACTCCTTCACAGAATATACTGTAAAGTGAATTGACTGTATATTTTGTGGATGAAATACAGCAGCCAATTGCACACAGCAGTGTCCCACAAACAATCATGGATTGAAATGACCATTTTTTTTTAATAAAGGAAATCTTGACCATATCAAATGCAAGGATTATTACAAGTGGAATTATAGTCAGGCAAATTTGTTCAGAAAATAGGGACAAATGGACATCGAAATGTATCTATCTGAACCTTTTGCACTGTACATTCAACAACTGTCTGCATTTCAGATGTGCTGCAATACCTAGTGACGATCTATGATATAGCCTCATTCACGGGGATGATTGATTCTTCTTCTTCTAATATCATGGTTTTAGGTTTTGATCTACAAAACAACCACTTTAAGATAGCCAGAGCAAATCGGACTATAATTCTTAGAAGTACAAATGCAAAAGGGACAATAATTTGCATCAAGTGAAAAATTTCAGTGCTAAACCTACTTAACATGTATGTCAGGCAGAACGTAACAAAGCTCATGGAAGGATAAAGTGAAAGTTTTGCAAACATGAAAGCATGCTCTTTACCCCCATACTGGATGTGACGATGCAGGGTTTCCTTTTCATTGTAAAGTGCCACAGCCCAAATGGCAAACTGGAAGATACTGGCGAGAAAAATAATAACGCAGCTGATCTGAATGGCTTCACGTTCATTGTGAGACTTTGCAGTAAATTCATGGGTGAGGCGAAAAGCCAAAGGCAGGCCACCAATGAAAGCCAGTGACAGCGTGTTCAGGAGGCCCATCAGTCTTGTTGGTTTAGTGATGTACAGAAAGAGTGAGTGGTGGACAAACCAGAGAAGGCCAACAGTCACAAATGAGCCAAAGTAAGCCAGGAATTCTGGACCATACTCACTAAGTGCTTCAATAAGCTTGCCATTGAACTGCTTTGCAACTTCTTTAGGATCAGGAACATTGTCCTCACTGTAACAATCAAACAAAAGGCACATCAATTCAGTTACAAGAAAACCTGGGAGATTTTTTTTATTAAAAAAGATCTTAGAATGAATCTTATGAAAAAGATCAAAAAGCTTGATTAGAAAAGAAGTTCTTATAGAGCGTTTCTGAACACACGATGAAATACTATGTAACTATTTATTACATTGAATAAAATGGAACCCCTTCTCCCACCACTCCAGGCCATTCCCAATGTTGGGGAAATCTGGTCCACTGTATTATTTCTGATCAATATAATGTAGAAGTAGTACTCTCGCTTCTGAGTCAGAAGGTTGTGGGTTCAAGCCCCACGTCGGGTTTGAACTCACATAGTCTAAGATGACATTCCAATGCAATGCTGGGGATGTGTTGCATTGTCGGAGGTGCCGACATTCGGATCAGACGTTAAACTGAGGTCCAGTCCATCTGTTCAGGTGGATGTTAAAGATCCTACTTCTCTGTTCAAAACAAGAAGGCTGTTTCTCCCAGTGGTCTGCCTAGCAATATCCCAAATAAAACTGGTCACTCACTTCGTGGCCATTTGTGGGACATTGCAATGCCTAATTGGGTTGCCCTTTTTTTCTACAAATACCAAGTCACTACATTTCACAGTAAATCCTGTGAAGCCCTTTGGGATGTCCTCCTGATATGAAAGGCGCTATACCAAATGTAAGGATTATTATCAAAACACAAAATACTGCAGATGCTGGAACCTGAAACAAAAACAGAGAGAGCTGGGAAAACTCAGCAGGTCAGGCAGCATCTACGAAGAAAGGAAAGTGAGTCAACGTTTCAGATCCACAATCCGACAAAGGGTTGTGGACCCGAAACATTGACTCACTTTCCTTTCTCCATAGATGCTGCCTGACCTGCTGAGTTTTCCCAGCTCTTTCTGTTTTTGTGTAAGGATTAGTATTATTATTATATAGTACCTACTAACTGGCTAATACTCATTTCCTTTAACGAACTCATTTTGCAAGTTAAGTAAGTAAATCTCAAACTATCAAGCAGGTTTATTGACATTTCAAAAATGTGAATGTTGCTGAATCCATGTCTAAAGCAGGGTGGAAATGTTGCCCTCTAGTGCATAAACTGATCTCTGACCAAGTTTTAAAATTGTAATCAACCCAATCAATCTGTGGGAGATTTCCTATTTCATTCAACACATTGAACAGGTATTTTTTTGATTCTTGGAAAATTCTGGATGATCCCAGTAAAAAATATAAGTTGGTCCCGTTTGGTTTTGATCTTGTTTCTGACACCTTTATTGATGGTGGGTATGTAAATAGTGTGAACTCTCTAAATTATGCAACACAATCAATTATGCCAAAGAATCAATTTAGGGTCACAAACACTTTGACTGTGATATTCTAGGAAACATAAATAATTAAAAATTGGTACATGTGTATGGAGTTATGTATGTGAAGATGTTCAACAAATAGAAAATAGGCACATGAAGCTGTCCTATGAAGCACTGACAGTACAAGCAGAGTATCTGCACTCTATTTACAATGATATTGGTATGCCAGGTATAACAACAATGTCATTGCAGATATGGTTTATATTGAAAGAATGAGAAAGTGCCTGTAATATCACTACAATCTTGATGTAAGGCTACATCTCCAAAACAACATGTTTTACCCACAATGTTGCATAATAATAATCCTTACATTTGATATAGCGCCTTATCATATCGTTGGGACGTCTCAAAGCGATTCACAGAACATATTGTAAAGTAGATTGACTGTGTATTTTGTGCGTATAAATATATATTGTATGATATATATAATGCATAAACCATGAGCAAACAAATGGCTTGTATAAACAATACAAATTTACATTGTGGAGTCCTGTAGCTCAGTGGTTAGAGCACTCACTTTGCAAGTGAGAGACATGAGTTCAATTCCAGGCAGAGGGCGAAACCTTGGGCAAGTTTCCTTACTCCACACACCTAATAATAATCCCTCCAAAACCAAAAACAATAATAAAATGGGTCATTTCAATCTATGACTGTTTGTGGGACATTGCTGCATGCAATTGGCTGCCGCGTTCGCCCACAAACATACAGTCAATTCACTTTACAGTGTGTTCTGTGAAGTGCTTTGGGACGTCCTCCCGACGTGAAAAGCGCTATATCAAATGCAAGCATTATTACTATTATTATTATTTAGAGAGCCTTTCACATCAGGATGACACGCCAACACGCTTAACAGTACAGAACAGTGAGCTAAGAAAGGAGCCAGGTCAGTAAGGTTTGAGGAGGTCGCAGAAGTGGGGGGAGTCAATGGATGGATTTAAGGATGAGAATGGAGATCTTGAACTCGATCCGCTGGAGGATGGGGAGCTAGTGGAACCAGGCAGATTGGGGCAATAGGCTCATGGAGCTTAGTGTGGGAGAGGATATGGGCTGAAGAGTTCTGAATAGTCTGCAGCTTGGGTAAGAAAAAGCTGCGGAGTCCAGCGAGCAGATACAAATACAAATTAATAGCTAATCCTTTTCATTGATTGTCAGCCTGATTCAGTTAGTGGCACTCTCACCTCTGAGTTAGAAGGTCCCCATGTCAGGACCTTGAGCTCATAGTCTTAGCTGACATTCCAATACAGGATTTGGGGAGTGTTGCATGGTCTGATGTGCTGCAAATGTAATCTTGTTGTGTTCTTGTTCCTGTCCTTCGGATGAGACATTAAACTGAGGTCCCGTTTGCCTGTTCAGGTGGACTTTAAAGTTCCCGTGGCACTACTGGAAAACAGTTTTCCTGGTGTCCTGGCAATTCCCCCCAATAAAATTGGTCACTTACTTCACAGTAAAATCCCGTGAAGTGCTTTGAGACATCTTGAACGACACAATAAGGCACTATATCAAATGCAGCGATTATTGTTATTATTGTTATTTTTAACTTACCTGCCCGTACCCTCCGTTTCTCTGGCTCCGGTCTGCTCCACATCCCCCGCTCCAAACGCCCTACCATCGGTGGCCGGGCCTTCAGCCTCTCAGCCCCTAGGCTCTGGAACTCTATCCCCCAGTGCCTTTGCCTTGCCTCCTCCCTTTCCTCCTTCAAGGCCGGTCTCAAGACCTTTCTCTTTGACCGTGCCTTCAGCTCCCCTCTCGACTCTCAACCCCTTCCTCGCTCCCTCCCTTCCCTCCCCTCACCCTGACCATATCCCCCCTGCTCGGGTCCTGACCCAACTGTACAGCGCCTTGGGACGTCCGCCCGACGTGAAAGGCGCTCTATAAATGGAATCTTGTTGTTGTTGTCGTTATCTGTACATTTTATTAAAAATTCAAAAAATCAACAACGACACTTGGTCAGCACCAAAGTTGTTATATAAATCTTACCATTGAAAGGGTTTAAAATAAAACTGAATAAATTTACTTGAAGGAAAATAACTTTAATGGGGTTTGGGAAAAGAGTTGGTGAATGGGATTATACAGTCGTAGCTAACTCTAGTCAACAGCATGATTGATGTTGATAAGTAACTTACCATATGTCTAAAATAAGAAGAGTTGCAACAATAGCAAAAACTCCGTCACTGAAGGCTTCTACACGCTCTTTGCTCAGTGGCTCATTTGAGTGAAAGTTGGAAAACGGAACTCGCTGTAATCTGGGTTCTTTTGGACCTTAGACAAAAGCAAATAGAGTTCCTCTCAGATTACACAAACTTCTACTTAAACCACAAACATTATGACACATTTCTTATAAAAACATTTCTTATAAAGGAACATCAAATGTCTTTGTTAGTTTTAATTATCCCTACTGTTACTGCCCTCCCCCACCCCCCATGACTCCTTGTTAAGCCAAAAGGAGAAGCAAGCGGGGACAGTTTAGCTTGTCCACGTCTGTCATCACCTGCCTGTGTCTATCATCAGAGGGTAATTCATAACTGGAACAGGTTACCAGGAAAGGTGTTCAAGGCCAGATACTGGATCTTTCAAAAAGCAACTTGATGCTGCAATGAGAGGATGGTAGGGTAGGTGTCTATCATCAGACACTCCATTTTCTGCCAATACAGTGTGGGGGGGGAAGGATGTTCCATAAACAAGCACCCTCACAAGATCATAAGAGAAATTCGGATGAAGAACCCCTTTGGCTCATCTGATCTTATCCTTCAAAAACACATACCCTACCGTCCTCTCAATGCAGCATTGAGTTGCTTTCTGAAAGATCCAGTATACTGGCCTTAACCACCCTGCCTGGTAATCTGTTCAAGTTATGAATTACCCTCTGGCTAAAGGCATTCTAAAGGCAAACGCTCTGGGACGCTACTCTGCGTGAGGGGCACTATATAAATGCAAGTTGTTATTGTTGTCTGCGCCCAAATGACTATTTGCAATCCTAAACCTGTGACATCTTGTCTTGCTGTCTCAGTGCATCCAAAGTATTGTTCTGAGTTTATTTTCTCCGTCCCGTTTAAGATGTTATACACCCACATAAAGGTCCCCTCTGAAATCTCTTCTTTCAAAATTGAAGGTTCTGGATTACTTAATCGTTGCTTGTACCGTATTCTTCTAACAATGAGCATTATTCTTCCTGCTACCCTATGCACCTTGGCTGATCCCTTGTATTATGACACAGCACTGTAGATGCGGCTTTACAAGAGCACTATAAAACACGAGTATGAATTTTGGAATCTAAACTCAACTGTTTGACAATATAGCTCAGGATCCTGTCTGTCTTCATTGTGGCAAATCAACTCCGCGCACACCTCTCCTCCCACTCCCTCTTTGAACCCCTCCAGTCCGGTTTCTGCCCTGCCCACCGTACAGAGACTGCGTTTATGAAAGTCACAAATGACATCTTCTCTATCTGTGACCAGGGCTCCCTCTGCCTCCTTGACCTCCTGGATCTCTCCTCCGTGTTCGACAGTCGATCACGCCATCCTCCTCTACCACCTTTCCTCCGTCATCCACCTCAGTGGGACCGACCGCACTCGCCTGGTTCGAGTCCTACCTTACGAACCGCCAGCAGTACATCGGCACAAACAGTTTTTCCTCCTGCTCTCACCTGGTTACCTGTGGGGTATCCCAACGATCCATCCTTGGCCCCTTCCTCTTTCTGATCTACATGCTCCCTCTTGGGGATGTCATCTGCAGACATGGGGTACACTTCTACATGTATGCGGACGACACCCAACTCTATTTTTCCACCTCACTTTGCGACCCCCAGTCCCCTGATGTTCTGTCAGCCTGCCTGTCAGACCTCAGGAGCTGGATGAGTGCAAATTTTCTTCAGCTGAACGCTGACAAGACGGAAGCCGTACTCTTTGGCTTTCGTCAACGTCTAAAATCACGATTCTCACCTCCTCCACCTGCCCGACCTCCCCCTAAAACTCTCCAAACCCATATGCAGCCTAGGCGTCAGGTTCGACCCCCAATTATCCTTCCTCCCCCACATCTGGTCCCTCACCAGCACCACTTTCTTCCACCTCCGACGCATCGCCCGTCTCCACCAATACCTCTCTCCAAAAGCCGCTGCAACCCTGGTCCGTGCCTTGTTTTATTCATCTGCACCATTGTCCTTCCTACAGGACACTTTGGAAGTGAGGACAGTCAACACTTATGAACCGCGTCACAAATTTTCTACAAAAATAATTTCCCAAACAATTCTAATGTGAGAAGTTAAAATAACTTATTGTGAGTATGCATATCCAAGCCTGTGTTACCCGCATCCATTGTGCACGGCAGCTTGATCTTGTAAGTGGGAGCCAGTAGAATGGGAGGTGCTCAGACATGCTTTTTGGCTGATGTCTTTTCCCTTCTGCTGCTTTACACAAACCTTTCATCAGTTAAGGCCCTAAAAATCCACCTAGTCTTAGCCTCCAAGACCATTTTGCCTTAAGACTTAAGATTGTAGAATGTGCCACCTTTGAAAGCTCTTCATTATAAATCACGTAAAGATAGCCATTCAAACACTCACCTCTTATCTTGCTCTTACACCACGTCAAACATTCAGTAATGTATGGGAGAAAGATAACCAGTGCAAGCACTACGTAGGCCTTTGAGAAAGAAAGTTACCAACAATCAAAAGCAATATGAAATCATCAAAATATAGTATAAACCACATTATATTATCACTCTTGGCTCTAATCCTCTTTATGCGAGCCATATTTTGCAATGAAAAAATATTCAGTGTGTAGTTTAATGTATATTAACATAGATATAAGAGGACACATTTCATAAAGCATTATTTTTAATGTAATATTATCAGTTTTATGTAATCATAATGTTGCAGATTAATGGGTAAGCAGAGGCATGCAGAAAAGCTCCAGGAACTGTGATTGGAGAACTTAAAGTATAGTACTGTATGCACGTAACAATGTAATTCTTTTCTCCACTGCTGTTTATTAACTTTTTTTTCTGGCTGTGCGCATAGCCCTAACTGCCCCGTTGAATTTAATTGTCTGCCCCGCACATGTGTGGCGATTTCTCTGCAGTAGAATTCCATATATGTATGGAAGCCACAGACTGGCACAAGAACCCATGCACAACCTGTGGGAGAGTTGTAGGAAAATAAAAATCTGTCCAATGTGTGAATTGCATTCCTATAATTGAAATGTGGGCTGACATCTAAATACTTGTCTTAAAGCCAGTCAATTATCAGTGAGACGATTAATCATTCAGCTTAATTATAAAGATACAGTAACTACAGAATTATTGAAAATCATTCACTTCACATTTCCCTACAAACATAATTTTTAATCAATTACTATATACTATATTTTCTTACAATAAAGGTTGCAGACATAACATACGTGTTTAATGCTCCACGGCTGCCTTGTAAATTATGCATAATCAAGATATATATGTAATGTTTTAGGGGCTGTACACTTATATGTTGTTAATACAAACACCTATGTGAGTACATGTGCAAATACAATATTGGGCAAACATTTGCTTTGAACTTAATGCTTCTATTGCATTCTGCTATGGATTTTATATTAAAAGGTAAAACACTATTTTTTTTTCTTACTCCAACACCTTTGTTTTTGATCTTTCCATTTCTCTTAACTAAACGGGATGAGCACATTGTGAGGAAGGGTATTTAGGTGTCAGCCTGGCTCAGTTAATAGCAATCATGAGTTAGAAGTTGGGGGTTCAAGCCCCATGTCAGGATTTGGAACTCACATTGTCTAGACTGACATCAGAAAAGAGAAGGGAATTTCTCCCTATCTTCTGTCCAATAATCTCCCAAATAAAATTGGTCATTCAATTCTTGGCTGCTGTGGGACGCTGTGTTTTGCCTACAAATACACAGTCACTGCACCTTATAGTATATCCCGTGAAGACCTTTGAGACGTCCTCCCAACATACTATATTTAATCCAAGGAATTTTTTTTTATTAGAGGGCTTGTGGAATGAACACGAAATTGGGATTAGAATGACGGCTTCTTGAAGGAGCAAAGACCGACAGAAAATTATGGGCCAAATGGTCTCTATTTGTGTAATGCTTTTCTATGGTTCTATATGCATAGCCAAAAGCATTATGACTTCTTTCTGGCCAGAAATGTGAATTCCATCTCCAGACCCCGAAACTGAGAACATTACAAAACATCAACTGAGCAATTCAACTGAAATGGAAGAGCCAGGGAAGAACCAGTTCTCCATATGGGTATTTGAGAATCAGAGAGTCGTATAATAATAATATTAATAATCCTTGCATTTGATATAGCACTTTTCACGTCTTCTGGACGTCTCAAAGCGCTTCACAGAATATACTATAAAGTGAATTGACTGTATATTTGTGGGCGAAACCCGGTAGCCAATTGCACACAGCAGTGTCCCACAAACAGTTGTGGATTGAAAATGACCAATTTATTATTGTTTTGTTTTGGAGGGATTATTATCAGGCGTGTGGAGTAAGGAAACTTGCCCAAGGTTTCGCCTGGAATTGAACCCAGGTGTCTCGCTTGCAAGGCAAGTGCTCTAACCACTAAGCTACAGGACTCCACGGTATGCCTACCAGGGATAGTTGATTTTCTTTATTTAATCTTTATTTATTTCACTTGGTTGCTACATTAGTCTTTTGATTTCACATAACATGGCTGTTGTGTTCACCCACAAAACACAGAGTATATCCTGCTAAATGCTTAGGGATGTCTTCCTGGTGTGAAAGGTGCTACACCAAATGTAAGGATTATTATTATTTGAACTTTTCACCAAGTGTAGTGTTCCCCAATGCTATACACAACTACAAATTAACCTCTTGAAAATATTAACAAGTTGAGATCAGTGAACAACTCACCACTGGACAAAAGATGAAAGAGAGGATTGCTGCAAGAAGGAAGAAGGCTGGAGCTCGTAAAATCATCTTCAGAATTTGGTACTTGTAAAGAGTTTGCTCCTGTGACGCTTGTATCTGGGTGTTCAATAAGTAAGGTCGACTGAACCCATAAATAACAATTACTGCCTGTAATGGAATTAAAAGAGGAAAATCAGCTTTCAATCTTGCAGCTACAGGACTAACCAGTAATAAACCAGTCTTCGTGTAGCTGCACATAAATATATAAAATATACAGTCAATTCACTTTACTTTAACCCCATATCAGCCTGTCCATTCCGTCTGTTCGGCGGACACTGGCCTGCTTCAGGTCTCCCGCACCCCATTCAGGTCGGGCATTCAGCATCTCCTCCCCCACACTCTGGAACTCTATCCTGCAATCCCTCTGCCTCACCCCTCTCTTGCCTCCTTCAAGTCCTGTCTAAAGACCTTCCTATTCGACCGTACCTTTGGATCGCCCCTCCCACCCTACCTGCCCTCCTCCCCTTCTGAACCCAACTCGGGCCCCAAAACCCCTGACTGTCCAGCACCCTGAGACGTCTTTCCAACATGAAGTATAATTTGTTGTTGTTGTTTACAGTATATTCTGTGAAGCACTTCTGTTGTTTACAGTATATTCTGTGAATCCCCTTAAGATGTCTCGAAGACATGATACAGCATTATTTCAAATGAAAAGGATTATTATAAAGTTTACAAATTATTATAAAGTCAAACTGATAGCAAATCAGACGTGGGAATCCTAACTGCTTTTGGGACATGGCATGTCAAGCGACTGCCAGGATGGTGGAAGGAGAACTAAATGGACCTTAGTCTTATTTTGCCTAGTAAATTCTTATGTTCTTACGCTTTTTCTCTTTTCTAGCGCAGGAAAACTGCAGTAACCCCTCCTTCCACAGCAGCTAATTCTGTGCAGATAAGTACTGCATCAACTGTTGAATTTACCCATTGATCTATTGTGGACACCATCATCAGTACATCTGTATAAATTGTTTCATTCTTCAACAACAAAAACAATCATAATTGCTTTGGATAAATTTATGGCATTAATGAGATCTCACACTGATATTGAATAGTGTTGGGCGTAAACGTACTAACAGGACATTTTATCAATCTGCAAATAATTGTTAACCTGTAAACAATGAGACATTACTATAGAACTTTACAGCACAGAAGAAGACCATTTGACCCATTTTGTCTCTTTTGAACATGCAATCCATTCAATCCCATTCACCTGTCATTTCCCCATACCCCTGAAATTGCTGCTTTTGAAATATCTAGCTTGGTGCCTCTTGAAAACCGATATGAATTCTGCCACACACAGGAGTGCATTCCACATCTGAACGAATCTGGCAAAAAAATCCTCCTAATCTCCCTGAACCTCACCCCAACCACTCCATCATTGACAGCCATGCTTTCAGCCCCCAAATCCTGGAACTCTCTGCCTCAATCTATCCATCTTGCCCATTTTCAGATTGCACCTGAAGAACTTCTTCTTTGACCATGCCTATGGTCACATCACCTCTTTGGTTTTATATTCCTCACCACTATTTATAAAACCTAGAATCCCATTAGCTCTCTTCACAGCTGTGTCTCCTGCTTTCCCATATTTGAAGATTCATGCACATTAACTCCTAGGTCTCTCGGTTCTTCTAAACCTTTTAATATTTTAAAAAAAGATTTAACATATAGCATATACTTGGTCTCATTCTTCATCTCAAAATGTACAACCTCACATGTTTCTGCATTAAATTTAACCTGCCATTTCTGAACCCAATCTGAAAGGTTATGTTCTCTTGAAGGTATTTAGAATCTTAGGTACACTCCTTATTTTGGGGGTCATCTGAAAAATTAGAAACTGTGACCCTTATACCAGAATCCCAATCATATATATATATATATATATATATTTATAGGAGAAAACAGTGGTCCTAACACTGACTCCTGGAAGAAATTACAATATATATCTGGTCATTCTTGAATAACCAGGTACTCTCAAAAAAAGTCTCCATGCACTTTTATCTATTCTCTATTTTATTTCATTAATCAATTCTATTAGATTTGTCAAGTAAGACCTGTATTGTATAAATCTTTTACAAAAACAATCAGAATCTATTGCTATACACATGATAGATTCTGTGCAATTCCAGCAGGCAAATAAAACAGCCAAAAAATCATATATTGAAAATGCTGAAATATGTGCTCTTTTTATTTTGAGGTGATTCATGACAATCCCAAGTTAACAAAAATTCCTGATGGGAAATTTAGTACAATATGTCAGTCACTAATGTTTAATGTTTCTTGCGAAGGCAAAGTTCAAAGTGAGACAGTAAGCTTTTATCCAGCTTTCAATAAGCAGGCGAGTCACACTCCTTTTCAGTGACTGGGACTACAAAAACAGCATTGTTTCATTGAAGAGGTCCATGTGTACAAAATTCAACCTTTGTGCAGTGTGCAGAAACAAAAATGCAGAACTATTTCTGTGCAGCATTAAAAATATAAATCCAATTCTCTCCCTCAGAATAAGGTTTCTAAAATAGGATTAGGTGGCAAAGACTGAATTTCCTGCAGCTGAATGTCAGCAAGACGGTAGCCATACTCTTTAGCTCCTGTCAAAGTTCTTCTCTCCTGAGGATCTGAACTCCTCAATCTCCCCAGGCACTTTTTTCCACCTCCGCCACATTGCCCGCCTCCATCCGTACCTCACAACCAACACAGCTGAAACCCTCGATTATGTCTTTGTCACTTCCCGGCTGAACTATCCCAATGCTCTCCTCGCTGGTCTCTCTATCTCCACCATGCACAAAATCCAATTAATTAAAAACTCCGCCACCCGGATACTCACTCACACAAAACTCCGTACTCCCATCACACCAGTCCTTGCCAGGCTCCACTGGCTCCCAATCATCGAATGGATTGATTTCAAGATCCTCTCACTAGTTTTCAAATCTCTTCATGCCCTCACACCTCCCTATCTATCTATCCGATCTGCTTACACCCACTCCACCACCCGCTGCTTCCAATCAGCTGGCTCCGGGCTCCTGTTTGTCCCTCATCCCATCCGCTCCAATGGCTACTATACCCTGAAACTCTGGAACTCTCCCTCAATCCCTCCACCTTACCCCCTCCCTCCCCACCTTCAAATCCCACTTAAAGACAACAACAACTTGCACTTATATAGTGCTCTCCACGCAGGGGAGCATCTCAGAGTGTTTAGAAGACCTTCCTTTTTGATTGTGCTTTCGGTCACCTCCCTCTCCCCCTGGCTCATCGGCAGACTCTGCCTTAGTCAAGCACTCCGGGACACTACCCTGCATAAAGGGCACTATGTAAATGCAAGTTGAGGTTGTTGTTGTTTAAGATCATAATGTAGGCTGACACTCTAATGCAGTGCTAGGAAAATGCTCCATTGTCAGATGCAGTCCTTCAGATGAGATGTTAAACCAAAGTCCTGTTTGCTGGTTCAGTTGGATATTACAGATCCCGTGACATGACCCAATTTCGAAAGAAATGAGTTTCTACCAGAGCCTTGGCCTGTTATCCCCCAGGCAAAATTGATCATTCATTGCATGTCTGTTTATGGGACACTATTGTGTAGAAATTGGCTGTCACATTCGCCTTCAAAATACACAATCATTATACTCTACCTGGAAGCATTTTGATACGTTTCAAACCAAAATAAGATGCTATATCAAATGTAATGACTATTATATGAATAAAACATACTTAACTTGGCCTATTTGGCATAATCATTTGTTGTCCAACCTACATGTCTGTGCTTAATTTTTGCCAAACCGTTTTATTTGAATCTGATTTTAATATTCATTTTTTTGTTAAATGACTTCAACATATTGGATATATTTTTCAATATGGAGAGAAGCAGGACGCAGACGTCAAGTTTGACACACAGCAGTACTCAGTCACACTGCTTAGAGAAATTGGTAGAGACTAATCAAAAGGCTGAGCTAAATACGGAAGGTGGATTGCTAAATCTGGACTCAGACTTACAGTACATTCATGAGGAAGAGGATGAAACAGGGAGACCAAGCGTGCCAGGGTGACAGAGAGAGTACTACTGGTGTGATGCACTTAGCACACTGAAAACACTCATCCACTACAGTATATGATGCATTTAGAGTTTTGTAGCTCAGTGGTTAGAGCACTCGCTTTGCAAGCGAGAGACCTGAGTTCAATTCCAGGCAGGGCAAAACCTTGGGCAAGTTTCCTTACTCCACACAGAGCCTAATAATAATCCCTCCAAAAAAAAAACAATAATAAATTGGTCATTTTCAATCCATGACTGTTTGTGGGACATTGCTGTGCGCAATTGGCTGCCGCGTTCGCCCACAAATATAGTCAATTCACTTTACAGTGTGTTCTGTGAAGAGCTTTGGGATGTCCTCCCGACGTGAAAAGCGCTATATCAAATGCAAGGATTATTATTATTATTATTATTTAATCCGTACCTGAATTAATCCAATGACAATGGCACTAACACAAAACAACAGAATTCCAAGTGGGTCATCTGGAAACGAAGCCATCAGAGAAAACTGGGAAAGAAGGAGAAAATTAGTCAAGAACAAGTTTCAGTGGTTACATATTTCTGTCTAAAGCACTCTCGTATAAAGTCTGCATGAAGCACCCAAATGATCACAGAAAGGAAAGGTGAAGCTATGATGGGCTCGTGTCCGACTTAGGTATCCAATTGTATCCAAGTGACAATTAAACATTTCAAAGAGGGAATTCCCTCAAAACGTATTTTTTAAATAAAATGTTCTTTCTATTTTACCAATTACTAGTAATGCCTTATTTAAAGTTGAAAGTTCTGTTATATATTTACTTACAGTGTAAGGTAGGAAGGTTATAAGCATCATGCATGCCTAAGGAAGAAAAAAAAGTACATCAATGTGTTTGCAGAAATAAACATTGTGCAGCGTCTTAATATTTATCAAAAAACTGAACTTCTATTTATTGCTGCTACCATAATGCTGGTACCAATACAATACCACTACTATTTCTTAATTGATATATAATTGTATCAGGTCAAGATTTTTCTATTTTTCAAAATATCCAATGTAGTTTTAAGTTCCCCATTCCTTGCCAATGGAGAAGTTTCCTTAAGTCAGAAACCTGGTGCAAAGATATAAAAGATTAAACCTGTGCAAAATATTTCCAGTGTTGCACATCTGCAGTTATGGTTTATATCACCATGACCTCCCAGTGACTGGTCAGCACCTCCAAAGCCAACCAATGAGCCAGCTGGCTGGTCTGTCACCAACAGTACCCTGGAGTACGGCAGATCTGCCTGGCTCAGGAACTGGACCACAGAGATCACCACACAGGATTAACTCTATTCCATTTCCAAATACGCCATCTTGACGGCAACTCAGCTCCAAGGAGACTTTGCGGACCTCAACCTTCCCCCCCACCAACCTCCCCAGCCAGGAGGACAGTTATTTGAGTCATTTGATAGTCATCCAACAAGTGCATGTTTGTGCCCTCCTCGCTGAGTGGTATCAGATACCAGAATTCCCTGCAAGCTTCCAGTCAGAGTATATTGGAGTGAATACACAAGAGAATAAGTATTCTGCAGGTTGTGTGTGTGTGTGTGGGGGGGGGGGGGGGGGGATGTTTGCTATCACACCACCAGGGAAAGCATACATTAAACTGCACATTTGTTTCTTGATGGTGCAGAACAACATTAAGAACAAATTTAAAAGTGAGAGAAAAAATAATTGCTAGGTTATCCAGAGGATAAATGGCTAATAACAGGGAGTTATTAATACTCTTTCACGTGTGTGTACACACACAGCTCAACGCATCTTTATTTAGTGTGATATTCAGACAGTTTGTGGTAATGACCGTGCACTCACCAAGTTGAGAAGGGCGAGTACATCATCTATTCGTTCAATCACTTGAAACAATCTATCAATAAAAAAAAATTAAAAACGTTCTATATTTGTGCAGTATTTTTAAAAACAATTTGTCTTTTTTACAACAAAATGAATACAACAGAAAAAACACAATTATTCAGCACATTTCTAGCATTAACGACTACAATTTATCCTCCAATGTTACCCTTTCTTTCTCAAAAGCCCTGATTCACAGACACCAGAAGCTTTTGAATGATTCGCTCAAATGCTAACTTGTTCGTACTCAAATTTAGAAAGTGTGGATAGTTAGGCAGCTCAGTTGCTGGGACCACCCCAGCACAGCTTGATTCTGTTCTCACCCAACGCGGACACTGGATAACGATTATAAATTTAAACACACCTTGAATTTTTCCTCTACCTAATGCAGGAAGATGGTTCAGCACAGACCAGTGATTACACTTGGGATTTATTTTATACACTAGTTTTGCATTAAACATCTAGCTTCAACAACATTGCTCACAAGTGATTGAATTTCTCGATAGCACTGGCCAAACCATCATTTGTTTGATAGGGTAATACTGTAATTGCAAGAGCAATTTTTTTTAAAACAAGAGAATACAACTCACCTGATATGTGAGGCCCAAGCCACTGTCACTATTAAAAACGTCATAACATAGACAGCAATCTTGGTTGCAAGAAGCTGTTGTAGACTTTCTTCTAGTTCCTGTATCAGAAAAGATAATTTGATTACCTTGCATCATATACAAATCACAGTAGAGAGGAATTTCAATTTTGGGGGGGGGGTATCATGCCAGAGTATCCAAACCAAGCTGCGAATTCTACAAGTTACCAACAGATTGAAATTTCCCTGTCTGGAATGGAAAGCACACTCTCTCCCTGGAGGAAAGTGCCCTGCTTAGCTAGTTCTAGAAAGTATGAGGCGCAGGTCGGCAAGACTCAAGGCTTAGGAACTCCAGAGTATGTGTTGGTTACAGATGGAGTTTAACCAGCAAACCTCACACAGCTTGACATGGAGAATAAGCTTGTCGTGCTTGGGCCTTCCGAGCAGGACAAGCAATGGGAAGCTTCCCAACCAGTGCTTTGGACTTTGGCTTACAGGGTTAACAGGAGTTGATTGGGAAGAATCCCCGCTCCCAGTAATCTGTCTGCCTCTTCCAAATCCTGCGACAAGCCAGGTCATCAGCAGTGCCTTGAAGTACTGTAGACCTGCCTGACTCAGGAACTGGACAACCGAGACTTCCACAAAGGGACAACTCAATTCCGACACTCCAACGCCATGAACATTACCTTGGAGCCAGCTCAGCTTCAAAGAGATCTCACTTACCGCCCCATGCCCCAGGAATACAATTCATATATATATATATATATATATATATATATATACATATAATATGATTGGTAAATGCAACCTTTAAATGTGAATATTTTTATTTTAAACTGCACAAGTTTTATTGCACTGAGTTGATAATCAAAACTCATACTAAGTCCATATCTAGAGAGAAACACAGGATCCTGAAATATTTCCATTCCCCTCTTTTTTTCTTCGTGCAAGCTGTTCTTATCCTCTGTAATCGGAGATCATCTAAGTTTAGCTCAACATCATGACTCGACAGTAAGTAGGGAAATTGAAATTGTATTGGTTGGGGGGAGGGGAAGAATGGTGAATCAGAATTGTGTCAGAGAGGAATTTGAAACATGTCCTGGAGTTGGGAAAGGGAATGAAACAGAATTAATAATCCTGTATTTGAGTTGGAATCGGAGGAGGGATTGTTCAGGGGATAAGGGAGAAATGTAACTGGATCTCCCCTCTGTGTTGCAAAGGCTGTCAGTTCTCCAATGAGCCGTGTCAATCCAGCCTTTCAAATCAGATTTTTTAAAAAATATCTTCAGGGCACTAGGAATGTATCTGTGACAAACAGTATGCAGCTCATTTCCTGCAAACTTATAAGTGCATCTCTTTGTCCCTGTACTCGTGACACCCAAATAGATTTATTACATTATAACTTAATGTATTCTAACAAACTGCACTAGTTTTAGCTCACTGCACATATTATTCATTTAAAGTTTTAACAGAGAAGAAAATGATACTATTGTGCTGTAAGGGCAATGCAGAATAAGTGTGGTACAATACTCCACTGTATCCACACAATCTGACTGAGACCCTTTTTCTACAGAAAAATGCAGCTGTAGCAATGAGATCACAAATACCAACTTTTGTTTTATCAGCTACTGTTGACAACTGTATAAAGTAGATTAACTAAAATGTGTACCTGAACCAGCCCTGATCCATATTAAAACAAATAAATATAAGATATGCAAGTAAAATTTGCATAAGTCTTATCTTTGTATATCCTATAATCGCCTAAGTCGGACATTCAACCAAGTTCCATTCAATTTTCTATCAAAACCACTTAGGTTTCTTTGCACTACTCATATTAATCACCTCCTAACTCGTAACGCCGCTTCCCTAACCTTCTTTATTTCCGTGCTTCCCGGCTACTTGAATTACGGGAAACGACACCCTGAATTGTGGACACATACTTATTTACCAGCCAAATGCACTGAAACACGGCAAACACAATCTTGATCCATTGACGCACATGCTTTATTACTTTATTAATAAATTTATTAAGAACTTTATTACTGCGATTCAATGCGAACTCCAACGTTTGCTGGAAAGTACATATACGGTGATCGGCCTAAGTCATATTGAATCACAGAAAATGTAGTCTTGATTCATCACCACATGTGCACTTACCGGCTGCATTAAGCCGCGCTTGAGGAGTGTAGATTATTGATTAAATTGGATTTTCTACGACTTATACAATTTGCCTGCAATTCAGACTTCATGTAAGTTGTACTAAATGTTACAGTCGTGACTAATGTGAGTTTTACTGAATAATTTATAACTTTGTATTGTTTATGAACCTAAAATGATTGGTGTTAATTCCTGTTCATTAATATCTGGGGAGAGGGGGAAAAATAAGAGGGAGCAAGGGGGGGAGAAAATCTTGTTGGTGTGTAAAATGTTTACATCATTAGGTCTATTGAAAAGTTTCAATGAGCTAATATATTTATTCAAAGAAAATCCCTTTCATTCTAACGAATAATACATCTTGTCAGAAAATTAACTGTACTCAACCTTTTCAGAAGGAAATAAAGTGTTTTCTCCATTTCAATTAAGGGCAAATTCCCTCTATTCTCCCACACAACCTCCAGGCTGTTCTGCGACTGGAGAGAGAGCAAGAAGGCACTGCTCTATTATTACCGCACTACATCAGTAGCAATTCAGTAATGCTCCAGAGATTATCCCTCCCTCCTGTGGAGAAATGCTTGGTGTTCAGTTTGCATTTTTCCTGCTACAGAGCTGGTAAGCTCAGAGGGAACAAAGAATTCAGCAGGTTTATGGACTCAAATAAGGTTTCCCCACTGGCATGATGATAAGGCTCCAGTGAACTGCATGACACCATTAGAAACATACCTCTTCACACAAACATTCCATTAATTAACGCACACTTAAACACTGTAAAATGCTACAACTTATTTTGCAACAATTCTAAGTATAATGCAGTACAATACCTCATCAGCACTGATTTTTGTATGACACACGGGTAAAATCTGGAAAAACAAAGCAAAGCAGCACATTAATTCAAAACTCACTTCACTGCATAATGCATCATTGTTCTTAAAATCTTGCAATAAAAAGGAACTTTTTTTAGGGAAAGACGATAGTTGGTTATATAGTTGACTAATAGGAATCATTAACACTTTGATATTGTACTCCCCTATAGTTCTGATGACGGGTCACGCACTTAACATTAACCTTTCTTTTTCATTCAGGTTCCGATTGACCTGCTATGCATTTTCTCTTTTTATACACGTGTTATATAACAATTGGCCAATTTTTTAAAAAAAGCCAAAAAAAAGCTGCAGGTGAAGTAGCTCATCTGCTCCTAACTTCCATTATCAGCCAGGTGTCAGTCAGGCTTCTGTTGTTAGCACTCACGCCATTGAGTGGGAAGGTTGTAGGGTCATCACACATCAGGACTTTAAGCTTTAGTCAGGTTGGAACTGGCTGGGTGAAGAGCATGCCGAATAACCATGAACAAAATAATGCAAAACTAGATGCTTTGAGATGTCCTCGTGATGTGAAAGATGCTGCATAAATGTAAATTGTACTGTATCTCTGGGGCAGAGGGCGTTGAATGTATATTTTGCACACTGTTTGAACTTTTTCCCCAATACTGAGCTAAGTAGAATACGAAGCTGCATCACATCAGAACATTTGGCAAATGCTACATTATAAAACAAGGAGGCAACAGAGAGAATAATTAAAAGGTTTTGAAATTAATCATACTGATGAACTAATTGACTTCCTATTTTGCAACCAAGGACACAAACTGTATCTGCAACTTATCCACAGAGATCAGCAAGTTCATTTCAAGGATAGGAATAAGGATTTCAAGGATAGGAATAAAGGAACAGTTTACTGCACAATGGTTTTGTAAGATTATCACATCTTCTCCACAACTGACACGCCCATGTAGTGCTAAGAGTGACAAGGCGCTATATCAAATGCAAGAATTATTACTATTATTATTACATTTTTGGAGATGTCCTTCGGATGAGACATGAAACTGAGGTCGCATCTACTGGTTCAGATTGATGTTAAAGATCCCCTGGCCCTGTTTGAAGAGTTTCTCTTGTCCTGGCCAATAAATCCATAGGTAAAAAATTGGTCATTCCCTTCAAAGCTGTTTGTGGGACATTGCTGCGCTTAAATTGGCTGCCACGTTTGCCCTACAAAATACCGTAAAGAGTCACTACAATACAGAAAACTCTCTGAAGCTCTCTGAAACGTTTTGACACGATAGGGCATAATATCACACACTGTACAAGTTTCTTTTATACATCTAAAGGCATCAGTCTTATTATTATTACAATAATATTATTATTACAATAATGTAAACATTATTGCTGGCCACCAGGGGGCATAGATGAACAGTCTGCTGGAGCCTTTCCAGCACATTTTCTCTCCGAGACGATGTTCCCGGTCTTGTGATATAAGCATCACAACAGTGACTGTTCCAAGATAAGGGCATTATAGTCTCAACAACCACACTGCCCGGATTCCTAAGAATAATCAGTGCCAGTGCCTCTCACAGCAATGGGCAGAACTAAAGGACATTTGTGATCAATGTGAATTCACTACACTTTTTGATAGAGCAAGTCCTGTATAATATGCTGCCTCTCTATATATTATTAATATATTTGCTCTTTATTTATAAAGAACAATCAATGTTAAGGTCCTGAACTTTAATTGTGATCAATCCTGAAGTTCTCGGAGCTCAAATGAGGTCCGGCACAGCAGCGATGCAATTTATACTGTGCTTTGTGCAACAATAGTCAGTATAAATCAGTGCTGAGCAATATGATAGGAAAGTGATTTGAATAGGTCCCTGTCTGTTAAGCAACTCTGAGACGCCACCTGGCGTGGAGGTCACCATGCAAGTGCAAGTTGTTGTTGTTGTTGACCACTTTGAGAAGGTGATTTCAGCAAGACATCGGATTTGCACTGCTGCAGTACGAGTTCATCTGGCATGAATAGATTCGGGCTCTGCTCGAAAAAAGTCCTTCAAAAGTTTAATAAACATCCCAAGGAATCAGAGAGGTCTGACTTTTAAGGTGTGACAAGACTGTGACAATCTTAGTAGTCCGGTTCCTGAGCAGGTCCGCAAGTACACCAAAGCACTGATGAGTGTGGCTGATCAGTGCTTTGAGGAGCCATCCTCATCAAAGGATTTGGAAGATCACTGGGAGCAGCAATTCCTCCCACTCAACCTCTGTTCACCATGCAAGCCAATGCACTTTACAAAATACAATCATCAGAATTTAAGTGAATATTGTTATACTGTACAGGTGAACGTGGCAGCTAATCTGCAATAGCAACACCCCGTGACAAAACATCCCACAACAATAAATAATTTGAATTGGGGAATAGATTTAACAAATAAGAAGATGAATTCTCACATTTTTAGAAGTGCGTTATCAAATCATTGAAACAGGTTAACATTTCATACTGGTGGAGAGCAGGGCGGCAGAAACGTGGACTTGTCAGGAAAATGATGTAACATACAAAGGATATTTGGTCCTACAGTTTGAAGGAAGGCATTGTTAACCAAATGTAAGGACTCCAACACGTAGCCCCACTTGAAGGGCGCTATTATTTTACAGAATATTATTCACTGTACTAAGATTCAAACTTGAAGTGCAACTACAAGGACTTTCATATTCCACCATAGGTTGAGCCCCTCACACCCTGAAGATAAATCTATGCCAACAGTAAAATCATTTTAGAACGTACTGGAGGCGAGGCCCTGTGTCTCTGTCTTTCTCCAACAGCAGTGCTATTTTATAGAAATAAATATTAGTGGCTGAGAGGACAGAGGACTTTGTGGGAAGTGAGGAACTCTGAACTCAAAAGTGAAATTAAAAACACAGAATATGAGGAAGTGCAATAGTCATAAGATTACAAAATGGCTTGCATGAAGAAGGCCCTTCGACACATTTGATCTCATTCTTCCAGCATATATCCCATTCCATCACAGCATCAAGCTCTTTTTAAAGGAATCTAAAGTCCTGACCTCAACCAATACTCCTCGGAACCTGTTCCAGTCGCTTAATCACCCTCTGGATAAAGAAATACTTCCTGGTGTGTTTCCTTTGCAAACCTTAACCTGTCATCCCTTGTTCTGTTGTCTCAGTTCACCCTAAAAAAGTATTGATTCTGATTTACTTTCTCAATCCCATTTAAAATCTTATATAGCCCCAGAAGATCCCTCTGAGATGTCGCTTTTTTTCAAGAATTAAGAGTCCTCGCTTAACTAATCGTTCCCAGCTTATTCCTCTGATCCTGGGGATCACCCTTATTGCTCTGCTTTGCAGCAACATTATGCTGCAGTGAACAGAACTTTAAATCCAGGATTCAGATCGTTGATGCACTACCGTGACAGTGTTCAGTGAAACCCCTGGATGTCACTGCAAACAGAGGCCAGTGTGTTTTTGAAATCAGATTTATTCTGACAAACTGGAATTAGGCCAATTATACAATTTGGAAATAAAAGATCAATATTAACTGGTACAACTGGTCTTTATTTATTTGCAAATAAAGGTAAATGTAAGTAGTTGTCATCATTCCAGATACAGTGATCATCCAGTCATTCACTTAAGTGGAAATTCTTTGCGTGTAACCATCACATGTACAATACAGATTCATTTCCGGCAAGTCATTGGGTAGTGATGAGAACTAATTTTCCTAGTCCAGGCTGCAGATTCTAAGGTCAATTATCAGATTCTTCACCATGATCATCTTTTAATACAATCAAAAATTGCATTTACATCATGCCTTTCACGTCAAGAGGATGTCCCAGTGGGGTGAACAGTACTGGCTGGCACCCCAGCTGGGGGTGCGAAATGATTGGAGTGGGGAGGGGAAAAGTGCGGTCAGAGAGGTGAGTCGGCAGACGGACTTTGAACGAGCTGAGGAAGGGAGGGAATCAGGATGCAATTCCAAAGTGGGGGCAGAAAGCTTGAAAGCCTGCTCGCTGATGGTGGGGTGGCTATGGTGAGCTATGGTGCCTGTTGAGCGAAGGGTGCACCCGGGTCGGTAGTTTCTGGAGGGTGGAGAGGTAGGGTTAGGCAAGACAGTGGAGGGATTTATGGTTGAGAAAAGGATTTTTGAACTCAATCCACTGAGGGATGAGGAGCCAATGGAGCTGAGTGAGGAGAGGAGTGATAGGCACACAGAGCCTGGAACAGGAAAGGACACAAGCTGCAGAGGTCTGGAGACTCTATGACTTGTGTGAGTAAGAGAGTTACTGTGCATCACTGAACAGATAAAGCTACACATATATTCATAGAAATGTCAGCACCCTCGGAGGTCATTGAGACCCAGGCTCATAATAATGTAAAATCATGCAAGAAAACTTCTGCACAGTTATTAAGGCATCATTTGCTGCACACTCGCTCACTCACGCTCACACCCACTTACACACACACCCACAAACACACACATACATACACACACACATACATAGACACACACACACACACATACATAGACACACACACACACACACATAGACACACCCACGTACAGACACACACCCACAAATACATAGATGCACACACACACACACTCACAAATACACACACACACATACAGACACACCCACACACACCCACAAACACACATAGACACACCCACATACACACACCTACAAATACATAGACGCACACACACACACACATACAGACACACCCACAAACACACCCACAAACACCTACACACACACAAACACACACACCCACAAACACACCCACAAACACACACACCCACAAACACCTACACACCCACAAACACACCCACAAACACACACACCCACAACACACCCACAACACCTACACACCCACAACACACACACACCCAAACACACCCACAAACACCTACACACCCACAAACACACACACACCAAACACACACCCACAACACCTACACACCCAAACACACACACCCACACACACAACCACAAACACACACACAAACACACACACACCCAAACACACCCACAAACACACACACCCACAAACACCTACACACCCACAAACACACACACACCCAAACACACACACACCCAAACACACCCACAAACACACACACCCACAAACACACCCACACCCACAAACACACACACCCACAAACACACCCACAAACACCTACACACCCACAAACACACACACACCCAAACACACCCACAAACACCTACACACCCACAAACACACACACACCCAAACACACACCCACAAACACCTACACACACCCACAAACACACACACACCCAAACACACCCACAAACACCTACACACCCACAAACACACACACACCCAAACACACACACACCCAAACACACACACACCCCAACACACACACCCAAACACACACACACCCAAACACACCCACACACACACACCACAAACACACCCACAAACACCTACACACCCACAAACACACACACACCCAAACACACCCACAAACACCTACACACCCACAAACACACACACCCAAACACACCCACAAACACCTACACACCCAAACACACACCCACAAACACACCCACAAACACACACACACCCACAAACACACCCACAAACACCTACACACCCACAAACACACACACCCACAAACACACCCACAAACACCTACACACCCACAAACACACACACCCAAACACACCCACAAACACCTACACACCACAACACACACACCCAAACACACCCACAAACACCTACACACCCAAACACACACCCACAAACACACACCCACAAACACACCCACAAACACCTACACACCCACAAACACACACACAAACACCTACACACCCAAACACACACCCACAAACACACACCCACAAACACACCCACAAACACCTACACACCCACAAACACACCCACAAACACCTACACACACACAAACACACACACACCCAAACACACACCCACAAACACCTACACACACCCACAAACACACACACACCCAAACACACCCACAAACACCTACACACCCACAAACACACACACACCCAAACACACACACACCCAAACACACACACACCCAAACACACCCAAACACACACCCACAAACACACACACACCCACAAACACACCCACAAACACCTACACACACACAAACACACACACAAACACACACACCCACAAACACACCCACAAACACCTACACACACACAAACACACACACACCAAACACACACCCACAAACACCAACACACCAAACACACACACACCCAAACACACACCCACAAACACCAACACACCCAAACACACACACCCAAACACACACCCACAAACACACACCCAAACACACACACACCCAAACACACCCACAAACACACACACCCACAAACACACCCACAAACACCTACACACCCACAAACACACACACACCCACAAACACCTACACACCCACAAACACACACACACCCAAACACACACACACCCAAACACACACCCACAAACACACACACACCCACAAACACACCCACAAACACCTACACACACACAAACACACACACAAACACACACACCCACAAACACACCCACAAACACCTACACACACACAAACACACACACACCCAAACACACACCCACAAACACCAACACACCCAAACACACACACACCCAAACACACACCCACAAACACCTACACACCCACAAACACACACACACCCACACACACACCCACAAACACCTACACACCCACAAACACACACACACCCACACACACACCCACAAACACCTACACACCCACAAACACCTACACACCCACAAACACACCCACAAACACCTACACACACCCAAACACACCCACAAACACCTACACACCCACAAACACACCCACAACACACACACCCACAAACACCCACAACACCACACACCCACAAACACACACACACCCAAACACACCCACAAACACACCCACAAACACCTACACACCCACAAACACACCCACAAACACCTACACACCCACAAACACACCCACAAACACCTACACACCCACAAACACACACACACCCAAACACACCCACAAACACACCCACAAACACCTACACACCCACAAACACACACACACCCAAACACACCCACAAACACACCCACAAACACCTACACACCCACAAACACACACACACCCAAACACACACACACCCACAAACACCTACACACACACCTACACACCCACAAACACCCACACCCCCCCCCCCCCCCTTACCATGACAGTGGCTATGATGGAGATCAGGGCGTCGCTGTACGCCAGGAGCCTGTGTGAGGACTGGGTGCTGCCCTGGGCCTGGGGGGTCCCCGGGGGCGAGTGGCTGTGGCTCTGCTCCTCCTCCTCCTCCTCCTCCATCACCTGCTCGGGGCCGCTCTCGGACAGCATGTGGGCAGCGCCGCGGTCACCACAGCACAGCAGAGCACAGCAGAGCAGCTCCAGGTCAGGTCTGGTCTGGTCAGGTCCGGGTCTCCTCCCGCGGCGGCGGCGGCGGCTCCGGCCTCAGCTCCACACATCCGCTTCCAGTTCCCCAGCAACGGCGTCAGCTGCTCCCCGCCCAACCCGCCCCCAACCCGCGCACACAGCCCGCACACACAGCCCACAGCGCGCCCCGCCCCAACCCGCCCCAACCCGCGCACACAGCCCGCACAACCCGCACCCCACAACCCGCACAAACCCGCACAACCCGCCCCGCACCCACAGCCCACAGCCCACACCCACACCCACAGCCCACCCCAACCCGCACCCACACCCACACCCACAACCCACACCCATAGCCACAACCCACACCCACAACCCACACCCACAACCCACACCCATAGCCACAACCCACACCCACAACCCACACCCACAACCCGCACCAACAACCCGCACCCACAGCCCACCCCAACCCGCACCCACACCCACACCCACAGCCCACCCCAACCCGCACCCACACCCACAACCCACACCCACAGCCACAACCCACACCCACAACCCACACCCACACCCACAACCCACAACCCACACCCACAACCCGCACCAACAACCCGCACCCACAACCCGCATAACCCGCACCCACAGCCCACACCCACACCCACAACCCGCACCCACACCCACAACCCACACCCACAACCCACAACCCGCACCCACAGCCCACCCCAACCCGCACCCACAGCCCACACAACCGCACCCACGACCCGCACAACCGCACCTACAGCCCGCACAACCCGCACAACTGCACCGACAACCACAACCCTACCACACACACCCTGCCCACACACATTGACTGAACCACAACCATCACCCCAGACACCTTGCACCCTTCACCTGGGGCGAGAAGTTCAGCGATATATTTTATTTATAATTTTAATATTTGAACTACACTGAGAACCCACCCACTACTCCCCCGGCAAGTCCTTTTTGCAAAGAAATAGGCTCCTCGTTTCCCTGCTGAGTTTCCTGATTTGGCAAATGTTTGGCCTCCTTGAAGCTGAGTTGGCAAAGGAATGTCAGAATCGAGCTGGCCCTCTGCGGTGGTCTTGCTAGTCCAGTTCCTGAGCCAGGCGGATCCGCAGGACCTGGAAGGACAGACCAGTCACTGGGACAGGGGCTCTTCCCTCTCAACCCCCATTAACCCTAGAAGCCAAAGTCTTAACAAAAGGATGGTCCGAGCGGCACAAGCAGCAGGATAGCTTGTCCTAGTCAGACAGTGGCAAGCCATGCGGTTTAAGCTGTTTAGACTCCAGCGGTACCCTAAGGTACACTCTGGGGTCCTCAAGCCTTGGCTTTTGCCAACCTGTGCCTAATACTCTCCAGGGAGAGAGTACGCATTCCATTACAATAAATATCTCTGGAATTTCAATGTATAGGTGGGATGCATGGAACTCTTAGTTTGGTTTGAATGGGTTTTCGCATGTTTCAGACACTTGGCTGACCCCCAATATATTGATTTGCTGGATATCAACATACCTGTTTATGTAATATTTCTGTCAAGATTTTGCTCAGAACAACTATTAATACTGAAATAAAAAATGATTGAGCAAACTGGGGAGAAAGGAAGAAGAGCTGTGTGTTATATTCATTGGCATAATATCACAACAATGTTCTTCAAACACATTTAAATTCTCCCGTCTCTGGTAAACAAAATCTTTGCACAACACTTTGTTTCTGAAGACAGTGTCCCTTTAACAATTGTTTTTATTTGTTTCAGTGAGGATTGCTGGTATATTCATGGATTAACCAAATTTCCTGTTGAAGAGCACTCTTTAGACAATGAGTTCCCAATTAAAACAAATATGAAATCGTTAGAAATGAATGCCTGAAACGTCAGTGTCTATTTGGAGTGAAATGGGGAAAGAAAGAGTCAGTGTTTGAAATTTGCGTCAACAGATGGGCCAGTCTGCAAGAGGTTTACAAACTTAGCATAAAGCCAGAATGATTATAAAACAAGAAATAATTGTTCACTGTTGTGGTTTGATTAGGTCATCAGTTTGTCTAAAAGAGCTGCTCCAGCACTCAGGGCGAGGAATGCACTGCCTCATTACCAGCTTCTTAACAGAGTCTGCACATTTCTCATTGTAAGCTTACAAATTATTTTACAGAGCCAAAGTAACATCAATACAGTATTTGTTTCGACTGGTGGGAAATTCAGGCAACAGGGCCTTTTTTTTGTCCCCAAAGTGTGGCTTCTTACTGCGGATCCTTTCTCCACCATCAACTACAGGTAAGACCAGCTATGGAGGGTTGTTCACAGAAACTAAACTTTTAGAAATCACACTGCATTAGTCGGGTAAACTTTGCCAAGCTGTTTGCTATATTGCAAAGTATGGAGGAGAAATTTCACCTCTGTCTGGATTTACTCCATTTATGTAGCATTTCAGAGAATCCAGAATTTGGTAAATTCTTAAATACAGCCTTAACTTTGAAGCTGGTGTTCTGTAATTTCTTTATACAAAAAAACAAATTCAGAGTTCAGACTGATTTCAACAATTTACTATTTTCTGGACAGTCTGAAATGCTACATGAATATAGGAAATGTTGACAAAAGTGGAATTTCCCACCCACAACGTTTTGTTCTCAAATATTATTTACACGTGGAGTCCTGAAACTCAGTGGTTAGAACGCTCGCCTCACAAATGAGAGGACCTAGGTTCGATTCCTAGCATGGTGAAACGTTGGGCAAATTTCCTTACTCCACATGCCTCTGCTTACCTAACAGTAAGTAGAAGCCCGGATGTTAGTCGATTTGTGGATCGCTTTTCCATGGGTAATAATCCCTTCAAAATAAATTTTAAAAATAAAATAATAATAATTTGGTTATTCAATCCACGATTGTTTGTGGGACACTGCTGTGCGCCATTGGCTGCTGCATTTCGCCCACAAAATATACAGTTGATTCGCTTTACAGTATATTCTCTGAAGTGTTTTGAGATGTCTCGAAAACGTGATAAGGCGTGCCAACAATTCTCCAGTTAACTTGATCATTCATCTCCTGGTTTGTATCAAAGGCAAGGATTATAATCCATAACTGTTTTCAAAAATATGTTATTTAAACATTTATTGCATGTTTATTTTCTAGTTTATTGATTGAAGGGATATAAAAAATGGTTGTTGGGTTATTGTCCTTCTGTTTATATGACAGTCACTGAATTATGTCAGGAGGAAAAGAACTATTTTGAAACTTGAAAAATAATTATATACATTACAAACACGTATAGTCAAATACGTTCAAGCAACCATCTCCATTCAGCAACAATTATAAAAAATCCAAGATGAATCTCACACTATGCACAGCAGTAAAGCATTATTGTAACCCTAATGAACTGTATGTACCTATCAATGAATTGTTAATGAAGTGTACAGTTGTTAGCACCCTGGCCTCTGGGACAGAACATTGCGTGTTCAAGTCTGATGTTGAGGGCTTTGAGCTCAAGGTCTAGGGCTAACACTCTCCAGTGCTGTGCTGGGTGAGTGCTCATTATTGAATGTGCTGATTTTCGGATGAGATGTTGAACCAAGGCTCCATCTGCTTGTTCAGGTGGATGTTAAAGAAGCCATGACACTATTTGAAAAGAGAAGGGAGTTTCTCATTGCCAACAATTCTCCAGTTAACTTGATCATTCATCTCCTGGTTTGTTTGTGGGACGTTGCTGTGTGCAAATTGGCTGCCATGTTTATCTACAACGCCTAACAGTAATTACTGTGAAGTGCTTTGAGATGTTTTGATGTGATAAGATACTGTATGAAATGCAAGGAGTGCTGTTATTTTATGATGAAGATTTTTGACTGAAATTTGGGTTCTTCACTCTTAAGAATTTTTGAAACTTGAAAGTTGCGTTTTAATTGCACAACATCTTTTAAAATTAACCTACCTCTTATACAGAGGAATGTTTGGAGTATGTATTGAAATTATATACAGAAAAATGAAGTTGGTGTTAATTAACACGTCTGCATTACTCCTTTTGTCGACCCGATATTTCACACTCACAGCCAATTAACCGCCCTACCTCCAGTTAGCTGGATAACATCCTTTATCTCGAGAAAACTTGTTGTTATGTACTGTGTGTACATTTTTCTAAAACATTAGAAAATAGTTTTGCTGAACTCAAACCCTGAATTGAAATGCTTTTATTCCATCCTCAGTTTTACACAGCAGCTGAGTCTTGCTTGAACAGGAGTACTTTTTAGACCCTTAAGATTTTTAAGGGTCTAAATTCTGTGCAATTCTCCATCTATTTCAAAATGTTTATTCTGCAAGTCTCTATTTTCCTCGCAATTTCTCAATCCCTTTTGCTGATGTTCTACCTCCCATCTCTTCTCTACTTCTACCTACCAATTCCTCTGACATCACCTAATGCTACGAACAACAGGTTGACGTACTCAACTTTCAGTCAAAAAGTCTTCATGAACGGGAACAGATTGAGAGGGTTAGCTTTGATGTCATCCAGTTAGAAAAGCTAATTGGCTGTGAAAGATTTCCACTTATTGCAGACAATTACATATTTGGGGTGTTGGAAATGAAGCTTTATACTGTAATCTGTTTTATAATTTCATATTAAATGTAAACTTCAAAACATTTCCGCTCTCATGTCCACAGAGTGAATACTACATACAGTTCCAGGAATGTCAGCAAACACCACAGAAAGGATTGACAGCAATCTGTTTGGTCTGCAGATGGAGGTATGTTCTGTTGCCCTAAGCACACTATTTTTTAAGGAGAGAAAATATCTTCCTCTTTCTTCTTCCCTTTGCTCTGAACCTGCTGGGCCAAGCATTCAGTGCAACCGCCAACTGTTTTCAACTGGCTCTTGGCAGCCATGTGGCAGTGCCTGAAGATGAGTCCCTCCCTGTTTGATCAGATGTCAGCCCAGCTCAGTTGGTAGTATTCTCTGCTCTGAGTCAGAAGAATGTGGGTTTCAGCCCCAAATAAATCACACCAAATTCAGGAAACTTAGCTTTGAAAAGAGGATGGTGTTGGAGCAGCATTTCTGAGTGTTTTCATGTACTTCTAGATTTCATCATTGAGAAATACTATAAAATTCATCATTTTAACTCTAAATATTCTGGTGGAAGCATCCCATGTTTCACACTGAGTCATTGGGTGATTTGAAATCTGTGATATAATCTTGCCCATCAGCTCCTAAAATTCTTTCAACAATGCTCTGAGACTTGATCAGAGGCCATCCTGTATCTAATACATTGACATCCATGGTAAAGAGCTGGTAGGTCAACACTCAGGCAACCAAGTGAAACAGAGAGTAAGGATTTTCACCAGTAATGCTACCATGTAATTTGCAATGGCATATCTGTGGTGCCCTCATTTTTTTCGAAAAAATTTGACTGGTGGGGGAGTGAATGTTTGAAATGTTGCTGTGCGGCACACAAATATTTGTAGATCTTTTTCAATTTCAATGAATTAAGCTGCTTACTTGGAATGAGAACGCCAACAAGATGGAAGTCAAACTCTTTGGCTCCAGTCGATGTCTCCTGTTGCATGGTTCCGACCTCCTCAACCTACCTGACCTGTCCTTAAAATTCTCCGAACCCATGCGCAACTTAGGAGTCAGGTTCGATCCCCTGTTATCCTTCCTCCCCCAAATCCGGTCCCTGATCAGCACCACTTTCTTCCACCTCCGCCGCATTGCCCGTCTCCAACAATACCTCATCTCAAAAGCTGCAGAAACCCTCGTCCATGCCTTTGTCATCTCTCGGTTGGACTATAACGCCCTCCTCGCTGGTCTCTCCTCCTCCACTATTCACAAAATTCAGCTCATTCAAAACTCCGCTGCCCGCTTTCTCATCTGCCCCAAACTTCCTACCCCGATTACTCCAGTCCTTACCAAACTCCACTGGCTCCCTGTCACAGAGCGGATCGACTTCAAGATCCTCACTCTAGTGTTTAAATCCCTCCATTCCTTGGCACCCCCCTATCTCTCTAACCTCCTCTCTCCCCACAGCAGTACCCGCTGCCTCCGCTCTACTGGGTCCGGCCTCCTCCATGTCCCCCAAATCCTCCGCTCCACCATCGGTGCAAGCTACCTCCATTATCATCACTAAAGTGGGAACAAAGATCAAGGCAAAAACAGAAGTCTCTGGGAACACTCAGCAGGTCAGGCAGCATCTGTGGTGAAAGGAAAGTGAGTCAACGTTTCGGGTCCACGACCCTTCGTCAGAAAGTTGTTCTTTCCTTTCTCCATAGATGCTGCCTGACCTGCTGAGTGTTCCCAGAAACTTCTGTTTTTGTTTCAGATTTCCAGCATCTGCAGTATTTTGTGTTTGGCGAAGGTGAAGACATTCATGTAGGATGGATGCACTTTTGGCAAAGGTTCAATCCATCAAAATGTTCTAACCTAGCCTTTTTTTTCATTAAAGTATAATTTACTCATGCATTTTTACAAGGTCATTCACTCAGTGTTTATATTCTGAACCTTCCTTCACAGTGGTTCACTGCACCTGTTTGATTCAGTGGCTGTGTAATAGACCAATTATATAAAACGATTAAGGGCAACCATTTGTTCCCTCTGTTGCCCTGAGCTGCTAAAGGCTATTTAGTTTAGAGAAATGTGTTATTTTGCGACACGATTAGCTGTCACCTGAGAGGCCTGGTGGAGCAAACTGATTTTGATCAGTTTTATCAAACTAGAATTTCTGTGAGTCATATTGAAGTGCTTGTAGAGACTTGCTTGGGGACATTTCTTTCCTTTGCCAGAGTTCTCATAGTAATTCTTAAGGATCCAGAAGAATAAATTCCATAACAGGTGGTAACTCAGCACTTAAGTTGCCTTGCTTTTCATTGAACTGGAACTAAACTGATGAGCTTCACATAACTAAACTACAAACTCCTTTTACCAGCTAAAGTGACTCATCCCTGGAGACTGTGAAGTAACTTGGAGGCACAATGACCAAAGGGCTATCTGTATGAATCGTGAGATCAAGCCGTTAAGCAGAACTTTGAATTGTTTTTAGAATTGAGTGGGTTAAGGGAGAGAGTGCGAACATCTTTTAACGTAGTCAGGACTCTGGTGTGATTGACTATTGATGTGAAAACACTGCTCTTTTATAATGAGATGCCCGTTAATGAGTGCTGTTATGCGTTTTGAATTCTAGGTGGAGTGGTTGTATCTGAAGATGTTGAATTTCTGCGTGACAGTAGTTACATTTTTCATATCAGTATGAAACGTTTACTTTTGCTACTTCACTGGGGAAATAAGAAAAATGTAATTTGTTGGTTGTTGTTATTGTTAATAAGACTTTTATTTAAAGGCTCTACTTTCCTGGCAGAATTTGATGGAGTGTGGTATGTATATGTGTGTGTGTATATATATATATATATAATATATGTAAGGGATGGTAAGCACAGTTCTTTCTCATCTTATTATCTAGTGCTAAAGTTTGGACTCTATCTCGTAAGCATCTTGAGTATTTGTTTTTGGTTGATCCAGAGAAGATCCTCAAATCTATTGTGGGCAGTTGCTGGTTGAGGAAGGTTTAAGACTGTGTGTCATGCTCAAAATAACTAGTGTGGTGAGCGGGATATCTAAATGATCTTTATTTGTCCACTCATGCATTTGCCGACACTGGGTTATCCTTTTTGGAGGAAGTAGTCACTGAAGAGAATTGACAACTGTGGTAAACAAATCAACGATTGTGATATCAACCAATGCTTGTAGGAAATGCTTTGTATGTATTAAGCAGGAAATAAATATGTTCATTGCATTGTTGATAGAGCGTGAAATATTCTGCAATATGCCAAGGAACATGTTCATACTGTTTGGGAATTGCAACTCCACATCTTTGCCAGCAGATGTCACTGTAGAATGCTTATTATTGTGATCCAAAGGAAATATTCAACTCGGTTTAGAAATCAACATGGTCTGCATAAAATCACACACTTGATTTGGATGAAGAAGGCTTTTGGGTCCATTTTATCTCATTTTTCTGGAATACATACCCACTCTCTTCCCAACACAATATCAAACATTTTTTTAAATGGCTGCAATGTCCTGGCCTTAATCAGCATTCCTGGTAACTTGTTCCAGTTGTTAATTACCCTCTCGGTGAACATCCAGGTGCTCTCTTGAATTTGCCTTTTACAACTAAAACTGTGGTTCTACTACCTTGATGAATCCTAATGTATTGTTCTCAGTTTACTTTTTCAATCCAATAGATTGGACAATCCAATTGGCAGGGCAAAATGTTGGGCAGGTCTCTTTACTCCACGCGTCTGTTTACCTAGCAGTAAGTAGGAACGCTTTTCTAGAGGTAATAATTCCTTCAAAAAAATAATAATGATAAATTGGTCACTCGATCCACGACTGCTTGTGGGACACTGCTGCGCGCAATTGGCTGCTGCATTTCGCCCACAAAATATACAGTCAATTCACTTCACACAGTATATTCTGTGAAGCACTTTGTGACATCTGGAAGACATGATAAGGCACTATATCAAATTTAAGTATTATTATGTTCAGGTGACGTTAAAGATCCACTGGCACTATTCAAAAAAAGAAGGGAGTTTCTCTTGATGTCTGGGTCAACAATCCCCCAATTTAAATTAGCTATCGTGTTCACCCACAAAGTACCCACCACTTTACAGAATATCCAGTGAAGATAATGTGTTGTGGACAAACTCTCCTAAAAAGAGGCTAGTGTCTGTGTTAATCAAACAGTAGCTGCCATAGACAAAAGTATGATGAAGACTCTTTCATAGGTCATTGTTTAGGCTATGTTTGGAATATTGTGTGCAGTTTTTGGCACACATCCACCCAAATGATATTGATTCTATTGGGGGATCTGAGTTATGAAGAGAGACTTTTACTCTCTGAACTTGTCTTCATTGGAAAAAAAACATGATTAAGAGGAGACCTGTCTGGCTTTTTTAAATGCTAGTAGGCATGGATGTCCTGGATGTAAGATATAAGAATGTAAGCAGGCTATTTGATGCATACTATCACACCAATTCTAACTCGGCTCCACTGGTTCCCTATCACCAAATGGATTGATTTTAAGATCGTCACACATTTTCAAACCCTTTCATGCTCTGGCACCTCCCTAACTCTCCGACCTGTTTGCTCCCAATCCACTAGCCGCTGCTGCCGCTCGACTGGCTCCGGCCTCTTGCTTGTCCACGGTGCCCTTCATTCCACCATCGGGAGCCATGCTTTCAGCCACTATACCCAGAAACTCTGGAACCCTCTATCCCTCTGCCTTGCCCGCTGCTTCCCCATTTTCAGGTCGGGCCTGAAGACCTTCCTCTTCGATCATGCCTACGGTCACCTCCTCCCGGCTTGGTGTCATGCTCTACAACTTTCAAGTGCTCTGGGACGCGAGGGGCTATATAAATGCAAGTTGTTGTTATGAGCACAGAACTAAAAGACAAATTTTAATAAATGGGGCTCATGTGAGACAAGTAGATAATTTTCCTTCTCACAGTAGCTGATACGTGGAGCAGATTAGCACCTATAACATCAAGACTGCCTCAAAATGGTTCACAAAGTTTCTGTGAAGTGTAGTGACTCTGTATTTGTAGGCCAATATGCAGAGCAATGCCCCACAAACAGTGAATGATAAATTTTATCTGGAGGATTCTCGGCCAGGATACTGGGAGAAATACTCTTCTGTTTTTGAACACTTCAATGGAATCTTTAATATCCACCTGAACAGGCAGACAGCACCTTGGTTTAATGTCTTATTCAAAGGACAGCACCACTGAAAATACAGCGCATCCCCAGCACTAGAGTGTGAACTCAAAATTCTGATGTTGGGTTTTAAATTAAGAATGAGCTGCAATGTTATAAAGTTAACCGTGGAGATTATGAGAACTTGAAGTTTCCTGTGCTAATGGGAATGTGTCATCAGCCCATTGCAATAGGTCAGGTTTGAACTGTGTAGCTTGTAATGTTTGATTGCTTTCTGAGGACTTCACATTCCCCTGAGGTCAGGAGGAAATTTTATAGCACTTTTATTTTCTCAGTTGATTCACCTGTGACTCAGGCCCCTTAGGATAGTTTGTGAAGAGACAAATTGCATGGGATTTGTGGAAAGAGATTTGATGGGCTCAACCACTGATCTCAGATGAGCATCTCTCATATTACTGATAGTTTGTATTAAACTTCTCACTCCAAGCTGTTTTACGTTCCTATAATGTTTTGAATCCAATCCAAGAGTGAAAGTCTGTATGTTGTGCAAACTGAGTAGTAGATTATTTACCGCTTTGTATTTTTTTCCCTTTAATGTGGGTGTAATGGTTACAGTGTTCACTAATATAAAATATTGTTTTTTTTAATAATTTTAGAATACTAATGCAGAAATGTTCCTTAAATTTCTGGAAACCAAACCTCTATCTTTATGTTCATCTGAGGCTTTGATCAGAATGGTCCTTTTTTAAAAAAAATTCAGGGAATTGATCATATTTAAAACTGAAAATGTGATTATTGCACAGCTAGCACCCTAGCTTCCCATCTCTTAAAATGTAACCTGCATCCTGACCTTGGAGGAGAACCGGCTGATATAAATATTTTTTATTATGTCTGCTCATGCTTGCAGTTCTTTAACTTGCTTTTGAGATTATCTGAACATCAAGTGTGTAGAATCTTTAATTGATGCTCATTTCACGTGAAAGTTGCTTTTTTTTTAAGTAGTCAATAGTTCATAAAATAAGAATGGAATTAAAACATACTAAGAAAACTCTGGATATTACAATCAAAAACTATTTGTGAGACATTCATTTAACTTGAAAGATGCTATACACAGCTCCTTTGGTAGGTCAACTGGTAGAGTTTAGAACCAAAACCAAATTATATTTGTATAGCTCCTTTCCCGTTGGGAGGACACCCCAAGGCACTAGACAATCAGTGTATCGGACCCTATAGAACAAAGAAAAGATATCCATCCTTGTGTTAAAGATCCCACAGCATGTCGCTGTTTACCCAGTGGTAAGTAGGAAGGCGGTTGTTAGTCGATTGGCAGATTGCTTTCTGGGGGTAATAATCCCTTTATTAAAAAAAGTAATAATTTGATCACTCAATTCACTACTGTTTGTGGGACACTACTGTGCGCAATTGACTGTTGCGTTTTGCCCACAAAATATACAGTTAATTCACTTTACAGTATATTCTGTAAAGTGCTTTGAAACCTCTCAACAATGTGATAAGGCACTATATCAAATGCAAGAATTATTATTATATCTCGGAGCACTGAATTCACTGTAAATGGATTACAGAAGATGGAGAATTACAATTAAGATGTTATAAACATAGGAAAGATTGCAAATGCACAGTCGGGTGATCAGCATCTGAAAGAAAAAGACTCCTGAGGCTTCAACAGAAAAGTATGCTTCAAAGTACTGAACATGGTATAAAGCATCAGTCAAATGTCAGATAACCAATGTGTCTCTTTTTATTAAAAGGTAACCAGTAAACTGCTGCACGCAGAACTGCAAAGATTGGTTGCATTGGAGGAAGAAATTGGAAACCTGACTGGTGCTGTCAAAGTATCTTCTTTCCTGCAGGTAAGCCTGATTAAACCTGTACATTGATAACCATATGAATAATGTTTCTGTGCAGATTGCAGTCATTTCCAAGATTTGTAAAAATCAAATCCTGCAGATAACCAGATGGGTATCAGCATGACTACAGAAACTCAACTTGGACTCTAATCTCATTTCAAACTTCATGGAAGTCAAGTTGCTGCCAGGATCTTCATCATTCGAATCAAAGTTAGCTTCCAGCAGGCATCTGGAGTCCAGGCAGAGCTGGGCTGTGTCTGGCTAACTGCGGGATCTGTTTTGGGGAAAGTTTTTCTAAATCGTGTAATTCATCCAAATTGAGAACATGGAACCATAAAAATATCCTGCCCTTTAGACAATCAGCAAAGGATAGGCACAATAATGTAGATATAACAAACGTATTACAATACAAAATTACATTTGCATAGCGCCTTTCACATCAGGATGACGTTCCAAGGGACCTAAGCGGGTGTGGGGTTGGGGGGGAGATCATGGAGTCGGGTTTGGGAGAGGACACAAGCTGCAGAGTTCTGGATGATCTGAATCTTGTGGCGGGAAGAGTTGGGAAGGTCCAATTGTTAAGTCGATCCGCCAATCGACTCACAACTGGGTTCCTACTTACTGCTAGATAAACAGATGTTTGTTAGGTCAGAGTATGAAGGGATATGGTGCAAAGGTGGGTTAAAACTGTAACTTAAACATTAATTTGCTATAATATGTATTGAAGCTTATATGCTAACTGAAAACGTAATGCAGTTGAATAGAATTCATGATTGATGAATTAGGAACCTCTTCACCACCACAATAGTATTTTTTGTTGTACGGCTTTAACAAGGATAATCCTTTGAATAACCTTGATTAACTTTGAATTTTGGCAGTAACTGAATGCAATGTAACACTGATGTATCAGAAACTGGGCTAAGTACACTGAATGCATGCATCAGTGAACACGTTCATTATTGTCAGTCCCCTGAAACCCAACATTATTTCTCCATTGCCACTAAAATGTTCATCTGTACCATACAAATATTAATCTAGGCTTTTCACTTCAATTGTGTTGAATGCAAACAACTCTAATAATTTGAAAAATACAAATAATTACAACGTCTTTCTTTTTTATAGTTCATTAAATTGAGTGGGTTTTAAAATTAATATTCATGCAAACAATGTGCTTGGTATTACAGTATTCAGTGGCAGTAATATTAATAGTAATACTACATTAGATTGGTTTGGACTTAATAATAGTAATAATGATCCTTGCATTTGATATAGCGCTTTTCACGTCTTCTAGATGTCTCAAAGCGCTTCACAGAATATACTGTAAAGTGAATTGACTGTATATTTGTGGGTGAAACGCGGCAGCCAATTGTGCACAGCAGTGTCCCACAAACAGTCGTGGATTGAAGTGACCAAATTATTATTGTTTTTTTTTCTTGAGGGATTATTGTCAGGCATGTGGAGGCATGCCTAAGGTTTCGTCCTACCATGAATGGAACCCAGGTCTCTCGCTTGTGAGGCGAGTGCTCTAACCACTGAGCTACAGGACTCCACAAGAATACAAGAAGCGTTGCAAAATGCTTCACGGGATGTACTGTAACGTGAAGTGACTCCGAAAGTCAGCCCGGCTTAGTTGATAGCACTCTCATCTGTGAGTCAGAAGATTGTGTTTTGAAGCCCCATATTTGGATTTTGAGCTGACATTGTAGGCTGATGCTTGAATACAGAGCTTAGGGATGTGCTGCATTGTTGGAGGTGCCGTCCGTCAGATGAGACATTAAACCAAGTCCCATCTGCCTATTTAGATGGACGGTAAAGATCCCATGGACTATTTGAAAAGGGAAGGGAATTTTCCCAGTACCCTAGACAAAATATCCCCAAATAAGATTGGTGTTTCACTTCATGACTGTTTGTTTGAAGGACATTGTTGGATCCCATAACAGCTTTGAGACTTCTTCTGGACGTGAAATGTCTGTATCAAATGTAATTATTATTATTATTTATAAGGTCCGACTTCTACCAATAACAGTTGAGATGATCCAGCTATAATTATTTTTCTCATTGATGTTTTACAGAAAAAGGAATTGGAGAAGAAACAACTCACTTTACAGTAAGTGCAGGACAACTAGCTTCAGTGCACTTGAATCTGAAATATCAAACCTCCTCTTTCTAAACTGTTCATTTTTCATTCTTGAAATGCAACAATAAATAATAATCCTTGTATTTGATATAGTGCCTTATTATGTCATCAAAGTGTCTGAAATGTCTCATTATTATTGTAATAATCTTTTGATATACATTGGAAGCCTGTTAAGCTGGACACATCGCGGATGGCCATTTTGTCCGGCTTAAGAGGTGTCCGAGGTTAGCTGAAATGCCATTCCCGCCCAGCAGAGGAGCATCACCAGATAATAATATTTAATAATGTGTTTCACTTGAAGCAGTGTTAACTAACCGAACAAGACACCAAGTATTTTAACTTAGGAGTTTTAATTTAGGAGTTAAAATACTGCACTCTCACAGAATTCAGTAAAATATATTTACCTTTATTTGGCTGCAAAATACCTTCCCGCCCAGCAAGGGAATGGCGGCGCTTCCTCAACCGGTATATTTTAATCAGGTAAGAATACAAATGAATCGGGACCAGGCATTTGATTTGATTTACCGTGTGCCCGGAGTTAAAGCGGATTCCACTGCAGTGCCTTTCACATTGGAAGGACATCACCAAGTGCTTCGCAGGATATACTGTAAAGTGGAGTGACTGTGTATCTTGTGGGCGAACACGGTAGCTAGTTTTCACGCAGCAATGTCACACAAATAGCCAGTCTATGAACCAAAAGTCCCAATGTGGGGCTTGAACCCACAGCCAACTGACTCAAAGGCAAGAGTGTCACAAACTGAGCCAACCTGATAAGGCATTCAGTGCCAGGAGTGTTTTATTTTGTTTAGTATAATGTGGATTGACTGCATTTTGCATACTATCTATGGGGTGGCTGCATATTTCCCGGGCAAGGCGAAACCTTAGGCAAGTTTCCTTACTACACACACACACCACACACAAACAGAAGTCTCAACATGCGCGAAAAATAATAATAATCCTCAACAGGCACTAAAATAATAATAATCCTCAACAGGCGCTATAACTAATAATAAAGATATAGATAAATACAAGGATCAAATACGAGGATTATTATGATGTTTAATTTTACCATTATTTTGATCATAGGAGGGAAGGATTCTAATAGGCATAAGAAATAGTTATTGACCTATGTTGATTGGTGATACTGTCGGGAGATCTAGCGATGGAAAGTGGTGCAAATATTAAGTGTCTTATGAAAGTGGAAAAGAAACTGTATCAAACATGCCAGCATTTTAAAAAAAACTTGGAACTGAATTTATTGTTGAGTTATCCATACACGGCCAATAACCTGCCCTGGAGAATAGGATAGTAAATTTCCTGTTCAACAAATTGCTTTTGCTATCTTTAATGCAGAGCAAACCCATTTTTGGCATGATGGAATAGAAATAATATTCTGCCCTTGGGTTGTTGCTACAGCAACAGAACGAGAGAGATGGCTCCGCTAGCAGGCGGAACACTGTTGAAGACACCTCCCATGGAGAAAAGGAAGTGTTCCTGCTATTTCTTCCACTGCTTTTATTAATTCACTGGATTCAAATTGTCAGCAATTCTGTAGAGGTGTGGGGGAAAGAAGATAGATCAAAAGTTCATTACAACAGTATCATCAAAAGTGGTGTGACTGATGGTAAAAGAACTGGCAACACAAATAATGATTTTGCGAGGGAATCCCATGTACTTCATACAGAAGTATCAATCAGCCTGACTAAGAATATAGCACCATTGCTTCTTGGTATAGGGTTTGTGGAATCAAGCCCCACATTGTGACTTTGAACTTGTAGTATGGGCTGACATTTCAGTTCAGTGCAGGGGGAACTCTGCTTTGTCAGAGGTGCCATCCTACAAATGAGACATTAAATCGAGGTTCAGGTGGACGTTAAAAATCCAATATTTGAAAAGAGAAGGGAGTTTCTGTGACATTGCTCTGCACAAATTGACTGCCTACAAATACAGTCACTTTACCCTTTTGAGATGTGAAACATTTCTGTTTTTCTGAGTACTAATATTATTACCTACACATTAGTTGCAAGATTTTGCAGACTGAGATCTCATCAAAGTTGAAGTCTCATGACTTTGGATCAAGTACAGAAGATTCCCTGGAGAAAGTGCTGTTTACGTCATGTGTGTATTTACCAGCAGCCATACAAGATGCCCATATTCACACTGCCGGAGTTTCCTGTGCCCTGATTCATCATCATGTCTTAAAAAAGGGCAGAAGCAAAATTTTGATCATCAAATATGCAGGAGCCTTACCTAGACTGCAGAGTTATGTGTGGAGTTGGCCCATATTATTGTGTTTTGTCCACCAATACACAATCAATCCACTTTGCAATATATTCTGTGAAGCGCTTTATGATGTCTCAACGACATGATAAGGTGCTACATCAAACACAAGTATTATTGTATGATATTTTATCAAAACTGAATAATAACATGTTAATATATGTCCCATATAATGGTGCCTCTGTTTTAATTAAGAATTTTGCAGCTTAGTTTAAGGATTTTTCGGGATTGTTCCTTTCAAATCAGGAAGGGAGTCTTCTCCCCCTCCCCCCTCCCCAAGGTCATCACGTCACTGTGGCTGATGTCATTTCCCACTTCAGTGCTATTAGATTTCAAATGCCAGGTGTGAGCTTGGCTCAGTTGGTAGCACTCTGGCCTCTGAGTCAGAAGACTGTAGGTGCAAGCCCTACTTTGAACTCTGTATAGGTTGATACTGCAATACAATGCTGTCCTTTGGGTGAGATTTTAAACCAAAGTCGCATTTGTATGTTCAGTTGGGTGTTAGAAACCCATGGTCTCTATGTAAAAAGAGAAGACAGTT